TCAACTCCAGTCATATTAGTCGGTAATGGTTCACACAAAAGAAGGTCCTCTTCCAGAGACTGCTGATGCTGATACCTCACGAACACAAGCAACACTGCTAGTCCTGCAACATCTGTGGACTCATCCATTTGTAGAACAAAGTTAGAACGCTTTAGGCGGGATATTAGTTCAGTCCTCACGTCTAATGCCAAGTCCTTTATCCAGCGAGCACCTGCATCAATCGAAAGGGACACTGCAGATATCTGCTTAGCGGACTTTTCATCCATCATACATTTGACCAGATCGATAACACATGGCTTTACATGCTTCTCCGCTATTGTGTGAGCTTCTCCTGCACGTGTGATATGATAACTAACAATGTAAGATGCCTCAGTGGCTTTTTCTCTCACAGTCTGTGATGCCTGAACCATAAATGTTTTTGTTTAAATTAATTTTGCTTCCAAATGAAAAAAACAGTGTTCAAGCTTTGACAATCTGGATGCATACTTTCAAAATGAAAGTGCATTTTAGCATGTGCCATCGAGCTGTATGGGAAGACTTCTGCACATAGGACACATTGAGGGGAACTATTACCTGTGTCAACGAATCCAAGGGATAAATAACTGTCATCATATTTCTGCCTTTTCACAGTTCCAGGTTTATTTTAAGCAGGCTGGCTTTTCAGTTTGTCTTAGTGTCTGTTTCTCCATTTCTACATTCTCAAATCTTACAAACTCAGGTGTCACAGAGGATGGTAAATCCATATTAAATAATGAGTTTTAAGTCCCAGGTGTTGCTTCATAATTTTCTGGAGTGGATTCTTTTGCAAAAGATGGTAGGCCTAAGTCCATATTCTCTGATGAGTTGGAAGTCCCAGATATTGCTTAATAATTTCCTGGTGTGGATTTTTAATTTTTTTTAATGTCTGTTCTTTCAGCCACCGATCCATCATACTGATACACTGAAGCAGAGACTGGAGAGCAGAGAGACGATTGCTGCTGCACAAAATCCGCCTTTTAGAAAACAGGGAGTCTCTCGTACGGGAGGAACTGAATTGCGAACTTCCAGAGAAAGGAGCTGGACGACTAGAAGACATGAGCCAACCAAGGCTGCTATGCTGAGCAAAGACTGGCTGGAGTTAAAACTACAGTGTAGAGCAATGGCAGGAAAAATTTAGCAGGCTCGGGTACGGAGAACTCCCGGATAGCAAGCATCCTGCCAAAAGATACATTAAGGGATGCTTGGGTGTACGGAGAAACTGAGTATAACAATTACAGCAATAAAAGAAATAGTTTAAATATTAAAGCTTTTTATAAAGTATATAAACTTTAGTCAGAACAAGCATGTCAAAACCTCTACAAAATAACCACAGTAAATACTAGTTTGTACTAATTTTATGATGTTCAGAGAAAATATACTTGTGTTATTTTTATTTGCCAAAATTTCCCTTTAGTTATATAATTCCATATTAAGTGGATTTAAAGACTAAGAGTAGAGAAACAGAATAAAAGAAGCAATCTTTTCATTTTCCATCTATCCATCGTCTTTGGCCAGTGAACCACATAGTGAATATTGTCTTGTTGTAATGTAGTACATCTAACACAGCAATGAAAGTTAATGCGTGTTCTGTGTGGCTGCATCTGTAATTTAATTCTCGATAAACTAATTTTTAGCCCTCTTACAGTAACAATATGCCAGAGTGACCAGACCATTTTTAGTGAGGTCATTTATTCAACCTTTATGGGGGGGAACATACTACACACCTTAGAGAAGGGTAGACAGAACACACAGTAAGAGAGGAAACAGGAACGAAAAGACAGGAAGAGAAGATTCTAGAGAGATTTGTGCTGTGAGAGTTCTTCAAATTCCAGAAGAGCCATCATAATAATTTGGAAATGTTTGCATTGCATAACTTTTCACATTGTGTGCTGTGCAAACCTCAGCTAATATAGAGAGCTCTTTGCCATAGCCCTGAACAAATCTGCTTAAAAACATTATTGCTGGATTATTGTTAACACAGGAGATTTGGAAGTCACACTAAAGTCCAACAGTAAATTCACTAGGAACCACAACACCAAAGATTAAAGCATGATGAAAGTATTATGGGGTGGATATTGGCTTAACACGCTTGGCTGAGGCCAACCTCAAGGAGGACAAGGAGGTCAGGAACCCCACGCAGGGTAACCAAGGGGTAGCAGCAGAGGTGGAGATGGAGTGGAGGTGGGATGCAAAAGACGTATGTGAGGGAGAGGTGGGGATAACGTAAGTATTTATAGCGTTTGGTAGAGGAAGGATGTCAGGAGCGATTGCTAATTACTGACAGCTGAGTATGACTGAGCTTGGTTGTTGTCATCCCTCCCGAACTTTTGTTATAAATTCCATTTACCATAAAATATTTTAAAGTCTTTTATGTTTTACTGTCCTCCTGAAATTAAGTTCTACATCTATAAGAAAAGGCATTGTTTTAGTATGTGATTTTCACCTGTTATTGTTGATTCTTTGAATATCAATTCAATAAAAGAAAAACAAAGGACCTTACGTATTCCATAAATTTGGGGACAAAAGCAAAATCAGGCACAAAAAGCTCCTTGTGGCTATTATTTTATTTCCCTTTTAATTATTATAATGCAAGAATGTACATTTTTGACTCAAGATTATCACTGAAAATAAATATCAAACCAGGGTTATTATAATTGTTAATAATTACTGTTAACACTTCTTGAACTTTCTACCTGGAACGGAAGACATTAAAATTTCTAAATAACTCCTTCAGTTATCCATCTCGCATTATATGGAATCCAAGCATACTTGAGAAGTTGCAGGCCTGTTATGTTTTATACAGTATATTTTTAATATAATTAAAAGAGCTCTGGAATTTCAGAAATAAAAAAATGTATTTCCATAAAAAGTGTTACATATAATAAAGTTCTTAGGACCTTTCATATATTTTAGTTTTCTTCAGTTAAATAATGCTTTATTATTTTTATTGAAGAACAAATACTTGCATTACTATGATATACAGCCTATATCTTAAAACTGTATTATTTTAAACATTATTTTATTCTTATACTCATGGTATGTCACATTTTTCTTCTCGTTTACCAGTCATTCAAAGATATAATTTTTATACCCTCAGGTCATATGAGTGAAGTTTGTTTCCAAAATATTCATTCTCCTTTCTAGAGCATTTTTGAACAAATGCATACGAACATATTATTATATTTTGATATGCCCAACTATTGGCGTTAAAACAAACTGTTGCAAATACGATTTTCAGGAACATCCACTGAGATTATGCGTGCAGTTCATCATTTTCTCAACACACCGGAAAAAAAAAACAGGAAAAATGTTACAAAGAGCTTTCAGCTCATTTTTACATCTTTTTTTATTTTGCTGGTTCATGCAACAACCGCGTATGAGTAGTTTATTCTGTTTTGCAGACCATGCATTCCACTGACATTAATCAAAACTGTAAATATTATTAACTTTTAATTCGCTATTGGGATTTTGAGCAGTGTGGTTTATGTACAGGATACAACCCTTACTGCAGACTCTACACGATGGCTTTGCAATGGTGCATTATTTACCTTCAAAGGTAAAAGAACTGTTACAGCTTTAAACTTTATCACAAAAACGTTCTCAAATATGAAGGGATACTTCGTCTAATTAATGTGAAATGTATATGTTTAACATTATTTTGTTAGAAAAGCTAACTAAATATTAACGGATTTTTTAAACAATCGCGTAATACATAGGTTTATGAATCATCATTCTTTTCGAACCAGTCTGACACTGTTCAAACTAAAAAGAAAACATGAGAACATGAGAGCGAAAAAAAACTTTAAAAGAGCATCCAGTGCATATCTGCAACCCGAAAAAAGCCTTTTCGCGATAAAACGTTCTTAAAACCACTTAGTGTTAATAGAAAACATCACATGCACCCCCTAAGGCTGTAATCACTTACATGTCACAGAAATGTGAAAATATCTTGCGAAAGATACCTCCCCCTTGACACATTCCCCACAGATACTCTTCGTCTTTTGTTTTGCTGATGCCTTCTTTCCAATATATCAAACTACAGAGACAACGTGATGTTACAGATCTCATACTTGATTGGCCGAAAGCGCACAGAGCCAGTAGACCTCTACATAGAGACCCAGAGTCAGGCATAGTGATTAACTCTTTCTTGTCGTGTTATTTCTTGCCGTAGAATACAGTGACAATTTTGGTAATTTCTCTTTCAACCTTTCTTTCTGATTCAGTTACAAAAAACGTAATTCTACATATGGTGATAAAAGGTGAAGATATAATGCCGAGTTAAATTTTTTTTTTCATTTAAAGAGGTACATTTGCGTTGTAGTATACATATGCACATCCATATTTTACTGTAAATAATCATCAATCAGTAATTCTAGTTGCTAATAATATTAAAGCAGCAGACATGAAGAAATGCATAATTGTGAATTATATACATTGAAATATTTGTACAACACCTAAACAAAAAGGAAGTGATAATATTAATTTGTTTAATTTTATTGATGGATACATGCATGACAAAAAATATATAAGCACTTCAGATTAGCTGTGAAATGACACTGTATTTGGAAAAATAAACGCAAATTCGCTTTATTTTTGCTGGTACAAAATGACCAACAAGCTGAGCTCTGATTGGTCGACGCTGTAGAATTCTACTCGTCGTCGTGGGATTAACTGCGATCATTTTAGCTCCGATACCGTATTTTTGTAATCACCCAGCACAATCGCCCGTTAAAAAGAGATTGCATTATACTGGCATCTAATCCAGATTCAAATTGTAGCATACTGCCTATATGCACAGACTGTATATTTGCAGACACTACACACTTTACCGATGTCTTTTAATCAAAACGTTACTTGAAAGCATTGACAATGCACATAACATAAAAAGTAGATATTCTAACATTTCCCTGTAGCATTTAGACCATGTATTCGTTCCTGTCAAAGATTATCCAATGTGTGAAGCGAGAAATCCAGTAACTTACCAATATGCTAAATCGAATTTCAAGAAAATATCCTGTTTCTTTAAAAATCCTTCAGCCTTCTATGTTGGCTGCAAAGAGAAATCTCTGCTACAACAGCTGCTCCTGCAGCAGAATGATCGCCATTTCTGTCGTTTGCCCGGTATGATCCAAGGCTGTGATGAGGCGCTGTAGAGTTCACAAAATGGAGTTGAAAAATGCAGGAGTGGCAGTAAAGAAATATCACTTTCTGACGCTGTAACAGCTCCATCTGTTATGTAGTAGTAACGATTTTTTTTAAATTCACAAAAATATACTCGAGTTAACCCTTTTTTTCTTTTTGTTTTGTATAAACTATCATGATAAATTCAGTATTGCTTTGCTTGTTTTTTTTGTAACAGAATGACACCCAACTTAACTTTTGTTTTAAGGTGGTCATTGCAAGAGAAAGGGAATATTAATATTCTGCATAATAATCAATAAAAATCTAAAATCAAATCTAAAAAGTAATAGCTATACATTATTTATTATTACTAAAGTGTGGATATTAAACCACAAAATCACCAACTTTACAAGGTAAGGTTTACATGAGAACACATGAACTTACCATGTAACTTTTCCTTGCTGGAACATTCTGAAAATCTTTCACATAACTTAGATGATCTTAACCATACAGTGCCTTCAGGAAGTATTCACTTCCATGAACAATTGCAAATGTTGTTGCTTTATGGACAGGATTTTTAATGCATTGAAATGACCCCCCCCCCCTTTATTCACACAATTCATGCAAAAAATAAAAAAGCTAAGAATTTTATTGCTCGACAAATATGAAACATTAAAAAACATAGATATCTTATTCACTGAAACATTCAGCCTCTTGAGTCAATGTTTTGTAGAATCAGATGTATTTAGGAATTTTTGCTAAAGATTTGCTCCAGCTCTGTCAGGTTGAATGGGGAACGTTGGTGAATTGCAATTGTCAAGTCCTTCCACAGAATCTTAATGGTATTCAAGTCTGGGATTTGGAGCAGCCACTCAAGGAAATTCACTTTCTTGTTCTGAACCCACTCAAACTCAAACAAAGTGATGCCTTAGCTGTATGCTTGAGGTCTTTGCCCTTTTGCAATGTGCATCATTTCAGTCTTTTTGACTGGCACACACTTTCTTCTTTTCTGTCTCTTCCGGTGTCCTTCCTCTTTCCCCTTCTTTCTGCGTCCTCCTCATTTGTGTCCTTCTCTAACGTAGCTTCTTTTTTGTATCCTCCCTTCCTCTGCTTGTTTTTATCCTGTTTCTAAAGTATTGATGACTCTTAATCATTTATCCATATCTCAATTAACCAAGGTAAACCAGATGATTTCTTTGATGACTGCATCTATGACCCAAGTAATCAATTCAATTCCTTTCTTGCTTTAAAGCTCCTGAGAACTACAAATAATAATTACTTGCTCAATGTTTGACTTTTGCCTCTGGATTCTTCACCTCAATAGTTCCAATAATGTTTCTAATAACCATAACAATAATAACAATGGCAATAGCACACACTTTAACAACACAACATGCAACATAAAACATTCAAGTTAGTCTATTTACAAACAAGACATCACAAAGGCCTACATTCATCCCACCATGACTGCTACCTAAGTATTTAAATCCTATATAATAAATTCTACATAACAACAATAGATAAAAACCTGCCTTCTGAATATAAATGATATCCAATCTAGAGTAAAATCTCTCATCCTATGAATCCAGATGCTCCAAAGTGAATGGGACTCTTTCTCCTTATTCTAAAAGTGAATACCCTAACCATGAGAGACTGTTTTTAACCTAGGGATTCTTTTATATGAAATTACCATTTCCTAATACAACAGAATGGCAAGTTCTCTTAGCTAGTTTCAAATACTTAACTAGAATGTGCTGTGTCAGGTTCTCTCACCAAGTACTGTTTTCTCTCTCTTCTTGTGTCTTTCTGTCTGTCTTCTGTTCTCTTTCTCTGCCATTTCGTCCATCTTACTCTCCTTTTGTCTCTGTCTACCTGTCTTTTTATTCTGTTTTGCCAGACTGTTCATGAATCTTAATGATTTACCAAGAACATAAGAAACTAAGGTAAATCAGACCACTTCTTTTGATCAATTTGATTCCCTATAGCTAAGGAAACACCTCAGTTACTACTTCTAGCTTTGAAGAAGCTTTGTCCAAGATGGTGGCGAGCTAGCATACAGAGGCCTTTCCGGGACCAACAACGGTGCACTAATTGTCTATTGAATGTGTCTTTTGTTTTCTATTGTTTCGTTTTCTACTGTAAGTGTTTACAAACATGATCTACAGCCATGAAGTCCTTCCTGATATACGCTCAAGAAGTGAAAATCTCTACCTTAATATGCCAGCTGCACTACTACTCATGTGCTCCAAAACCAGGGCATTTCCTGAGTGGTGTTCCCAACTGAGAAGGCACCACAAACAGTGTGAGAGGGGGCGGAAGCTCAGCAAGCGAGTGGGGGTGCTAGCCAGGCTAAAGACTATTCCCTCCAGACCAGCGATTCTATCTATTTTCCTGGCCAATGTTTGCTCACTCTATCATTGGCTACATTAGCAAGTGTGCAGATGATGTTGTGATCACTAAGTCTGTCACTATTCAACCTAACCAGAAGCCCTGGTTGAAGCCCTGGTTCGCTGCTGTGGGCTCGAAATGCTGCATTTAAATCTGGGGATGGATCGGCACTCAAAGCATCTAGGGCAAAATTTAAACAGTGTCATCAAGAAAGCCAAATTACCCTATGCCCTGAGGATTCAGGAGCATTTTGTGGACAAGAACCCGAGGTGGATGTGGTAGGGCATACAGACCATCACTGACTACAAGAGAAGAAACAACAGTGTTGATGATGGGAATGTGTCCCTGTCCAATACGCTGAACGAATTTTATGTCAAGTTCAAGGCACTCAACACAACCCCAGGCGACCAGGTGCTGTCTGTCTACCTAGCTGACGTAAGGAGGACTCTGGCAAGAGTTAACACGGGAAAAGTCATAGGTCCAGACAGCATCCCCAGTCGTGTGCTAAGGGAATGCACTAGTGAGTTAGCAGAGGTCTTCACCAACATCTTTAACACATCCCTCAGGCTGTTGTCCCAAAATACTTCAAATCCACCATCATCACCCTGGTTCCCAAGAAATCACCAGTATCCAGCTTCAATGACTATCGCCCCATGGCACTCACCCCGGTCATTATGAAGTGCTTCGAGATACTAGTCATGTCACACATCAAGACCTCTATCTCACCCACACTAGGTCAGCACCAGTATGCCTATTGGCACAATAGATCCAACGAAGCTGCCATTGCCGCTGCAGTACATCTGACCCTGACCCATCTGGAGGGAAAAGACTGTTATGTCAGAATGCTGTTCATAGACTTTAGTTCAGCATTCAATCAACATTTGAAAATGCTTATTTGCACATTACTACTGTAAATACCCATTTATTCATTTATTTATCTACTCATCACACTATTTTATTCTTATTTATATACCTATACTATCTCAACAGCCGCTAATTGACTGCCACTCGCCCCCCCAGTGTGTTCTTCTGTGTTATTCTGTGACATTATTCTGATTGTTTTAGTGTATTGTGTATCACGGCCCAGGAGGAATTACATTTCATTCTCTCTTGTACATTGTATTAGTGTAGAATGACAATAAAGTGAACCTTGAACCTTGAAGCTCCAGAGAACCACAAATATTGACACTAGCTAGGCGTTGACCATTGTATCTAAATTTTTCACACCTCAGTAACCACTTCCAAAGCTGTAAAAATACTATATTCTGTAGCTCATCGTGTGACAGTGTAGGAGTGGACTTGATCATATGTGACTTTGGCTGTTCATGACGGTTCTCTGCTCTGAACCTAAATGTTGAGACTCTACTTTGATTGCTAAAATTTTTAATAAGAATTCATTGCATTCCTAAGAATTTGTTAAAAAGAATTTCTTGTACTTTTTGTTCAAGAGTCTTTAGTCATCTTAAATAGAGAGGGGAATTCAGTTATTACACTTCTGAAGTGCAACACTTACAGTATGTGGGTGACACATGGCAGCCATTACAAACATGCTATGCCAGTACACAATTAAATTACTTCACCAGTTGAATTTATGAAAATCTCTGGAAAGTCCAAAGTGGAACCAGAACTTTACATTCTTTAATCTTATCCTCTCTTGAGTGTATCCTTTATGGAGCCTGGTTGAAAATACAATGGCCAATGAGAGGACTGATTCCCGGAAAAACTATCTGGACTGAAAACGTTTTTGTTTTATGAATCCTGATTTAAGTATATTTATTTAGTGTCAAAATGTTACTATTTAAATACTTTTATCTCTAATGCCTTGTAAGTTTTGTTTCATTTTCAGTTTGTCATACAAATTTACAGCTATGGTACATTAAGAAAATTAAAGCTTTTATAATGTATTTAGATGTATTCTTAAGTTATACAAAATAAAGTGAAAGATCCTGCAGTAAATGCTGTAATAAATGCATTTGTTAGATGCACTTAAGGGTTAAAAAGTAATAGTTTGCCGGCTGGGTGCTATCTGCTATGTCTGCTATTATTTGTAGTATCCTCTGGTTGAGGTGACCCCCTGTGCTACATATATTTTTGATCAAATGATTTAATGTCATACATCCTGTTTTTCCACAGAAGCTTGCATAACTACCTGTTCTTGGCAAACTACCATGGACTTCTCAGTCTAAAATTGTTTGAGTTACACATAAAAATGATGATGTATATATAAATGTGATATAAACGATTATGGTTTCTGGTTTTTAAGTTGAACATTGTTTTACTTCAAGACCTGTGTTCCTTTCTTTGTTATTATAAAGAAATGTTTCCAACTCGTCAAAGTAAGTTTGTTGATATTTCTAGGAGTCTAATAAAAGTAATAAAGTCAGTTGAAGTGGTAAAGACTGATGGAACTGAGAATGCTAATTTCTCTTCACTGTGCTCTTTTTGAAGGTCATCTCTGTGTTATGTCTGCTATTGCAATGTAACCTTTTCAGTCATTTATAAACTAACTGTATATTTGATTACATTTTTGGGGCCCCTTCATACAGTAGAAGTAGAGTAGGTATAAATTGGAATAGTTATGCTGCATGCACTGGCAAGATGAAACTACCTCATACTGTTTGATACTAGGGTGTGT